CCAGACATTAAATGAATGAAAACTCCAGGAGGTTTTTACAGCCCACTTGGGGCTGACCAGGTCGTTTGGAGCAGGCTCCGATTTCTATTTATACCTTTCTCAGTCAGGTAACTTCCTTTTCAGTAGTATGAGCGTCTGCACTGTGTGGCATATTTGCCGACGTATAACAGAGACTGAAACATTGCTCACACTTGTCTGAGGTGGTCATTTTGACTGCAATCTTGTTTTAGGTTGGCACTTTGTTTTTGAATATTGTCTGCTTTTCGAATGCGTATCTGTGCTGCAGTAGAACGCTTTAGCCTCACAGCAAACATTTTGGTTTACAAGCTGTCACTGCTGTCTTTCTGACTTTCTGAGACTTTCTCTTCTCCAGGAGGAGGTTGCAAACGTTAGAGTTATTTTTGTCAGAGCAGCTGCAGCTGCAGCACACCTGGGTGGAGGCCCACAGCTAGACTTAAGGCCAATCTTCACGCAGACCTTCCCTGGTGGTCTAGTGGTTAGGATTTAGCGCTCTCACCGCCGTGGCCCGGGTTCGATTCCCGGTCAGGGAACTTCCTTTTCACCTCCATGCTGAACTTTGAGGAGTGGTTAACTCATTTGGCGAAGGCAAGAAAGCGGCTCTGAGCGCAAAAGATGTCCTTCAAGTCGGAGTCGAACCAGCGACCTAAGGATTGCCATCATCTCACCTACAGTCCTCCGCTCTACCAACTGAGCTATCGAAGGCTCACGGGGAAACTCCACAACCACATCCTATAAGGTAGCTGCTGGCCAAAAAGGACAGAAGCAAAAGCACTCAAGCCTTCCCATACCGGGAGTCGAACCCGGGCCGCCTGGGTGAAAACCAGGAATCCTAACCGCTAGACCATATGGGAACTGCCACTCTTGAAACCCAGTCTTGGCACAAACTCCAGTTCATTCTGATCGCTGGCACGTCCCTGCTCCGCTTGCACAAGTGCCACTCATACACTTAGGCACTCTCTCATACACAGTTTCTTGGTTTCCGTAACCGAGAATCTTCTGATCCATAGTCATAAGCGCTAACCTTTGTGCCACCGTCACTCTGTTCAGCACCTTGTTAGCACATTGCTTGAAGCAAGGACAAGGCTCTGTCAACCCGGAGTTCCTTCACCACACATTCTGCTTTGTTTTTATGGCAAGAGGTTGTGTGGATGGGATGCTCTTACAGGATTCCTGACAGTCCCTCCATAGAAGACCTGAGATCCAGGGTCGGAGACTCTCTCCTCTCCAAGAGTAGGTTAAAAGCAATGGTTTCTTTTGTGTCTGTGTGTCAGAGCCCTTAGGTGTTGCTGCAGCTCAGAGACCTACAAGTGGAGGAGATTACACTGCAAGTCGGCTGGATGACCTCTAAGTGGTAGGCACTTATGCCGCACGTAGGCTGGGTTTGCGATTGATGTAGCTGTAGTAGACATTCATAAAAATAAAAAAATATATATAAACTGCTTACTCTGAGGTTGTGTTTAGGGTTGGGGTAGGAGTAAAATTGAATAAAACACAGCAGGTTACCGTGAGGTTGGGCCTAGGGCTGGGGTAGGTGTGATTTTAATAAACTGCGATAGGTTGTATTCTGTGCCATGTACGAGACATTGAATCAATGAGGAGGTTGGGTTGGGAGGTTGATAAAACACAGCAGGAAACTGTGAGGTTGGTTTAAGGATTGGGGTAGGTTTGACATTCAAACATAACTGGTTGGACGCAGTGTCTTGTACCAGACATTAAATGAATGAAAACTCCAGGAGGTTTTTACAGCCCATTTGGGGCTGACCAGGTCGTTTGGAGCAGGCTCCGATTTCTATTTATACCTTTCTCAGTCAGGTAACTTCCTTTTCAGTAGTATGAGCGTCTGCACTGTGTGGCATATTTGCCGACGTATAACAGAGACTGAAACATTGCTCACACTTGTCTGAGGTGGTCATTTTGACTGCAATCTTGTTTTAGGTTGGCACTTTGTTTTTGAATATTGTCTGCTTTTCGAATGCGTATCTGTGCTGCAGTAGAACGCCTTAGCCTCACAGCAAACATTTTGGTCTACAAGCTGTCACTGCTGTCTTCCCAGGAGAGTGGCTGTACTGGTTTCTTCTGGAAGTCCTGAGGGATGTACGGGACCAAGATATGAGAGCAGTTGGGGCAGACTTTGAACCCAGGGGAGCACCACACAGGCTCTGTGCTGGCAGCCCCAGAAACTTGATCCACTCCAAAGTAGAACCAAACAACTCTGGCAGGGGCAAACTGCAACTGCAGTGCACTGACTGAGAGCAATGCAATAAATCCTGATCGAGCCAGCCAAAAGTCGAATCTAGAATCTTCTGATCAGTCAGACACGTTATCCATTGCGCCACTGGCACACAGTGTGCAAGGAGTGCTCAGTAGCATGCTGTTTGGAAAGAGCACATGGCCCGGTAAACATGGAGGTCCTTCAACGCATGCTGTGCTTTGTTGTCATGGCAAGTTGTGGTGTCGATAGGATGCTTTTACACAGAGCATGTGACAGTCCCTCCGTAGAAGAACTTTGAACCAGGCTCTGAGACTTTCTCTTCTCTAGGAGGAGGTTGCAAACATTAGAGTTATTTTTGTCAGAGCAGCTGCAGCACACCTGGGTGGAGGCCCACAGCTAGGCTAGAGGGCAACCTTTAGCCAGGCCTTCCCTGGTGGGTCTTGTGGTTAGGACTTAGCGCTCTTACCGCTGTGGCCTGGGTTCAATTCCTTGTCAGGGAGCTTCCTTTTCACCTCCATGGTAAACTTCGAGCAGTGTTGCCGATGATCTCTTCACGAAAGCAGCTCTGAATGCAAAAGATGTCCTTCGAGCCGCACTGTAAGACGTAATAAGACACTCTGGCACAGACATCCAGTCTGCACGCTGGAATACACGCTATTATCTCATGGTTGAGACGCAGCTTCAAAAATTAGTTTCAAACCGGAAGTACAAATTTGCTTGAAATAACGCAAAAACAACCAATTTACACTTTTTAGTGAAATATTTGTGTCCTAATAGTGTTTTTAGTAGTGTGGGACACATATATGACTGTCAACAGCTCAAAAAATGTGTTTTGGAGTTTCGTGACCCTTTAAGGTACAAATGGTAGAGAAAATACACACATGAAAATCTTACTTTGTTTTTCTTCTAACTAAGTATATTTTTATATGTTTTGTTGTTTTGTCTCAAATTATTTTATGTAGGACACAAATGCCTCAAATGCAGCTTTAACATCATTGGAATAAATTATATTTTAACATATTCAAATGGAAAAGCTAACATATTAAAAAGGAATAATTATTTACAAGGTTACTTTTATATCTGCATTTTTATAAACTAAAGCAGTTTTGTCCCAAACTTTTGAAAAATAGTCCATGTTGTCTTTATATTTTTAGATGCTTCATTTATTACTGATTTTACTTTATGCTTTCAAAATATGTAACTATGCATTTGAAGTGATATTGTGCTATTTTGCTACATAGTAGAAGTGAACTAGTTTTGTTTTGTGTTAAAGCCACAATGGCCCTGCATAAAAGTGCTTTACTGGGACCTTATAGGCACATTTTGTGCCTGGACTCAACTTAGTATTAGTGGGACCTAACTTGTTAATTACTAAATGCCCACAGAGCATGCTCATAGGACATACTTCTGACCCAGATAGTATACCTATACTTCGCCCATTGTGGCTATATACCCACTTTGTGTGGACTTGCTATGGGCCCTCAGTGAACTTCTGTTTCGAGTGGGCCAGCCCACATTTTGGTCTAGCGACATTGTATATGTTTTTGGTATAGACATGTTAGTTTGGGAATTTGTGCACTAAAACTGTACACTCAAGTACATGAAGGTGAGCTTAAGCAAACTGCATTAAACATTCAAAACTATTGTATAATAGGCTTAGAGAGACAATAGAAAAGCATATCTTAATTAAGATATAAATTGGATCCAATTAAAATATTGTAGAAATTGTCCTAAAGGATTTTCCTGTATTGTACTATAAAATAATCCTATAGGAATGGTTGCAAAATATGATGAAAATTCTAAAATAACTCCTTCAAAGAAATCTGATAGGATGCTTCTTTTGTGTCTGTATAATTGTAAAAGTTAGACTGATTTAGATCAGAAATCCACTACATGTTCATTAACTGAAAACACAGCTGAAGGTGCTACAATTAACACATAAACACCCTAGACAGCACAGCACAGCACCACTGCTTTTTTCTGTGACAGACATAGATCTCGTCTAGGATTTAAACCCAGGACCTTTTGCACCCTAAGTGAGAATCATACCCCAAGACCAATAAGCCATGTAGAAGTGCTTGGCAGAGCCAGAAAAAAATTCTGTGAAACCGGTCCAATCTACTTTTTGTTCATGTTGTTTTTGTTACGCAACTCCCTGGATCCATATTACAGTTCAGAGGCAGTAAAAAACGGCCCAGTGGCCTAATGTTTAAGGCACCAGCCTTCAAAGCTGGGGATTGTGGGTTCAAGTCCCACCTGGGTTGTCTTTGATGCAGTTTTTTGAAGTTGGCTGTGCAGCACAATCCAGTGTGACCTTCAAAAAACTAGGTTCATACTCTTAGGTCAAAAAGACATTATAATGGAAAACTCTTCAGAGAAGCTGATTTGTCATTAGTTGCACACACCAGATCGTCTGAATGCAATAGGGATCCTAAAGTGCTGTTCTCTGAGTTACAAGAACTTCCTGAGTCATACAACAAATATAGCAAATGCTACACTCTAAAAAATGCTGGGTTGAAAACAACCCAATTTGGGTTATTTTGTAACCCAGCGCTGGGTCAAAAAGGGACAAACCCAACGCTGGGTTAATTTGACCCAGCAGGTTGGGTTACACGTCTAACCCAGCATGCTGGGTTGTGATTTTAACCCAACTATTGGTTAAAAATAACTACACTGCTGGGTTGAAAGTAACCCAAAATGGGTAGGAAATTTAATCTAGAAACTTTGGTGATTAAAATTACTAAAATAAAAACAATTCACAGTGATACATACTTCAGAAATAGAATTTTATTTGACAAAAGATGTAAAAATGTGTCCATCTGGATTTGAAACATATTCACCTTAGCATTAAGATTTTTTTAAGAAAATGTATCAAACTGCATAACAAAAACACTGACTTAAGTCAGACAAATAACTTAAGAAAAAGAAATTTGAAATATAAAAACTTTTCATAACATTTGCATCAATCATCTGTAAGAATTAATTGCAATGTAAGTGCAGAGTAGAGGAAAAATAAATGCAGAATAATGAAAAAAAAACATCTTGACAGAAGATTCACTGAAAAATACAAATGTGTACACAAACATCTACATATCCTAACATATATAAATCATCAACTTTAATGTAGAAAGAACGTAATGTAGAATTAATAATAATAAAAAGGCACCAAAGGAAAAAAAAAGTTTAGATTAGGAAAAAAGAAAACAATTTAAAATAGAAAATTTTAAATAGGTAAATATTTCAAAACTTTTACAATCATGTGCAAACATCCGTAAAAAAGTTGCAATCTAACTGCATTGTAGAGGAAAAATATTTAGAATAATGAAAGTGCATAAAACTGACTGAAGTCAAACTTACTTCTAAGAAAAAACATTTAAAGTATGGAACCATTTCATAACGTGCACAAACATTTATATGCATCACATTAACATACCATGTGACAAAAAATGTCACAATAGGTCATCAATACAATTAATCGCAGTACGATTCAAGAAACTGAAGTAATGTAACTGATAGAAGTAGAAGAAACAGAGTAGACTGTAGAAGTAACAGAGTACAAGTTGAAGTACACAAAAACCAAGAAAGCGGTAAGGTTACAGTATTATTACTGTTTTTCAGCAAAAATGAATGCTCGCAGAACTCTTACTGCCGGTGTCTCCTCCCCAGGAAGTCCATACACCACAGTCTGTAGAAACTGCCACACCAGGGAACACTGCTTGGGGTAGTTCACGTCAAAAATGTAAAATGCTTTAAAGCAAATGTCCACTGCAGCAAGTAATGTGCTTTGCTCAAGTGCTGTGCCATTTATTATAGCAAAGTCTTGAAAGTTGTGGTTGTCTCCAAGCATGAGCACGTAAGGAGATTCAATGGACTCTTTTGAACGAAGGTATTCAGCCATATTGGTCCCAATCTGAAAAATAAATAAATAAATAATGGTATAGATTCATTAAAAACTTAAAAATGTTAAAGTTAAACCAACTAAAAGTTCAGCTAACACACTGCAAAAAAGTTGATCTTAAATTTTTCGCCTTTCTAGTCATAATATTTAAAAATTCTAAAATCAAAAACAATTTTCTAGACAAGCAAACATGATGTCTTATTTAAAGAAATAATATGCCAAAATTAAGAGAATTTTTCCCTAAAAATAAGCAAAATAATCTGCCAAAGGGGTAAGCAAAATAATACTGTCATAAGGAAAAACAAGATTATTTTGCTTACCTCATTGACAGATTATTTTATCATTTATCATTATTTCTTAAAACAAGACAGTATGTTTTGCTTGTCTAGAAAATTATTCTTGATTTTGGAATTTTTATATATTTGGACGAGAAAGAAGATGAAAAATCTAAGTAAGAAAAGCATTTTTTGCATTGTGTTGGCATTAGGGCACGAATTTTTGGCCCGGGTGCAGATGACTCAATGCAAAAACACAGTTCTTTTACAATGTTATTTTTTTTTTTAATATAATGTCAGCTTAATGTAACATCAAATTTTGTCTTTATTTACTCAACCCTTTGTCATTACAAACTCCAATTTGTAATAAAAGCTGAGAATTTTCTGTACATACCCCTGTCTACGCAACTACCACTTAAGATAACGAAATGAACATCCATTTAAATTTTTGTTCAGATATTCTAAAGAGACTTTGCTTTATATGATCAACAAATTAAATGTAGGCTTTTTAATTACATACAGCTGTGATCAGAGAACAAGCAGAAGCACAAGCATGCTTTTTGTCTCACAAAGCAGTCAAGGACACATGCTTGAGATTCTGTTTTAATTTAATGTTTATTTTAAAAAGCTATTGTGTCTCTTCAGAAAATGTTGTGTATACTTAACTGCTCAATTAATGTGGATTATTTTTTACAGACACTTTATACTTTTTTTGAAGCTTTAAAGTAGACTTGCTGCAATAGTCGGTGATGTCAGTGTTCAAGGAGAAGTCCACGCCCAGAGCAAAATGCTCATGCCTTTCTTTGTTCAGTTGTAAAAAAGGTTTTTTGAGGAAATCACTTTAAGATATAGATATGGTGTACCGATTTTGAATTACCAAAATGCAATTTAAATGTGGCTTTAAACATTCCCAAATGCTGTTGTAACTGATCCCAGCTGAGAAAGAAGGGTCTCATCTAGTTAAACTATCATTATTTTCATTAAAAAAAAAAACTTTTTATGAAACAAACTGATCATTTTGATAGAGAAGACTCTTTCTACTCAGCTGGGATCATTAACAACCACATTAGGGATCATTTGAAGCTGTATTTCAACTACATTTCTGAAGTTTAAACTAAAAAAAAAAAAAACTTTCTGACTGAAGAAAGAAATACATTAACATTCAAGATGACATAACCTGCAAATCTTTGTTCTGGAAACTGAAAAGTTGACTTCTCCTTTAAGACTGACATTAAGAAGAGCAAGAGGATAATGGAGGAAGCAGTAGTCATACTGGGTAGAAGAGCACAATCAGCACACCTCTTGAAAGAAGAGGGAGACAAAAATGAAAAGGAAGCTGGCACTGAGCCACAGCCCTCCATTATTACCGGTGTTGTGACACATCAATAAACCAGTGAAAAAAATTGCGTCAAACCTACTTCAAAGTGCTACTGACACTATCAATAAAGGGACAAAAATCTCTCAAATTTTTAAAATAATGTAAAAAAAACATTAATTTGTCATTTAACAATAAATACATACAATGGGTCCTTTTCACATTAACAAGAATCTCAGACGTGGAAGTCATCATCATTTTGAAAACTTTATAGGGTTGATTGGGAGATAACGAAAAATATAATTTTTGTATTTGGTCTAATGACAAAAGTAAAAATAAAAATCTAATCAAACCAAATTAGTTTCCAAGACTTTACCAAATAAGGAAGAATAAATCATTATTCTCTTTCAATTCCAGTTTTTTTAATAAACATCCTCGCTGCAGTGTTAATTACAGTTATTATAATTTCTCTATGAAAAGGGCCCATACAACGTATTATAAATGCTTTACATCATGTAGTTTTAGCAGTAGCTGTTAACTTACAGGCTGTATGTCAATGAAGGCTTTCCTGGTTTCTAGGAAAGTGGGTTTGAACGTTTTTCTTTGTACACATGCGTTGGAAGGATTACAGGAAGGAGTTACATGGCGATGTCACTCTGTCTCTCTTTAAAATAAAAAACACCCAAAGTTCAAAAAATGTAAATTAACTGCAACAAAAGTTGACTGAAATAAATCTACATACAGTATATTACATTAGTTTCTAAAATTAAGAAATACTTAACTATTAAGAAATACTACACTAAAAATGATAATGAAAATTGTCATTACTAACAGTCATTTTTATATTAAGGGGCAATATTCACAATCTAACCTTTTTGGGATTGATGGGGAAGTAACTAATTTCATAAACAGTTTGCTGAATGCCTATTACCTGCTGACATTGTTTCTATGTCGTGAAGTAGTTTAAGAGCTTGTTTTTGTTTGCTGGCAACCTGAAGAATCTTATCCTTAAACACTGGTACCCAATTTTCTGTGAGTTTTGAAGCACAGTCTGGATTCAAAATTAAAAAATCCTGGGATATCTAAAAAGCAGAAAACAAAGACAAACATGGCAAAAGTTGTAAAACAAAATGAAACGTACTTAGCCAATGAACTTAGTTAAAAAATTTTCCTACCATGCCTGGAGTGTCGAGAAGACGTGGATACTCTTTGGCTATTTCCATTATCGTTTTGGATCCATCGTCACGAATCCATTTTGCCCTTTGAATCGCTGTTTCTTTCATGTACTGCTCGACCTGACTTGCTGGCCAGATATTATTTCTGAGCCACTCTATCATTTGAGTTGCTCTTTCCAAGTCCACATTCGAATCTGTTGTGAGAAGAACCATACATCACAAACATACAGCAATTAATGTTGGCAAATAGAGATCATATTCATATCAAACAGTGACAAATGGGTCAACATTTTAAATGATACCCAACCCTACACATATGTACCCACATACCAGGCAAAGTAAAATTACTGCTGTCTCTTGGGTTGTCTGAACAAACTGGCTTTTGTCTTCCTCTTCTAATCTTTTTGCGCACATTCCGAAGACGCTCTTCAAGGAAGCCTGTGGCAGGTCTGTGAAATCTACCTGGACTGAACCATGCCTCCTTGTGTTAAAAAAATACAAAAACAGAATTAGAAATTAACACTGGACCAATTTACCCAGAGTTCCAGAACTAAGGTAACAGTGACATTAGTTGTGTTGAAGTACATAAATGCACAAACAGAAAAACCCTCAAACAGTCCATAAAATCGGGCTCCATAAAGTCTGAAATCGTTGAAGGACATTACAAATTAAAGCACCCTGTTATTATTGTTTGTAATGTGCTTTTTGATTTTCTTTATTATTTACTTCTTACATGACTTAAGTACTTATTGTTTTCCATTTTATTTTTAATTTGTAATTATTGTTAACAAGTATGTACTTGTAACATGGTAGTTAAATAAGAAAATACAGAGAAATGTAAGATTCTTAATCAGATTTGTAATAAGTAATCAGATTGTGAGATACAGAAAAAAATAATAATCTGTCTTTGACACTGTACTCACATAGCCTTTACCCTGGCAATCCTTAAGGCATGGAAATTGTTCGACTATTGACGAAGCCAAGGTGACTTTTGTTGCTCCACTTGGACTAAAAGAAACAATATTCTGATTTTTTAAAAGATACTACATATGTACACATTTAAGATCTCAAACAATATTTTTAGCATTAAATACATTACTTAAA